AGTTTGGCAGTTTCTTTCAAGGCTAAACGTGGTGTTACCATATAGTCTAGCAATTGCCCTCCTAGGTATTTATCCAACTGATTTGAAAACTTATGTCTGCACAAAACCTGCATGTGAATGCTTATAGCAGCTTTATTCATAATCCCCAAAAACTGGAAGCAACCAAGATATCCTTTAATAGGTGAATGAATAAACAAATGTGGTATATCCATATAATGGAATATTATTCAGCTCTAAAAAGAAATGAAATGTACGTGAAAAGACATGAGTAAACCTTAAATGCATATTGCTAAGTGAGAGAAGCCAGTCTGAAAGGCTGTATGATTCCAATTATATGACATTCTGGAAAAGTCAAAAGTCTTGAGATAGTAAAAAGATCAGTGGTTGCCAGTGGGAGGAGGAGGTGAAAATGTGAAGCACAGGAGATTTTTTAGAGTGGTGAAAGTATTCTGTATGATACTGTAATGATGGACATGACACTGTACGCTTGTTAAAGCTACTAGAAGTTTCATAAAGAATGAACCTTAATGTATGTAAATGAAAAAAAATTATTTAGGAGGTCAGGGGATTCCAGGATAGAATGCAGACTGTGACCAAAGAATATAATTGTATTACATATGTATTAAACAACCTCACCGAAGGAGGTGGGAGAAAAAGGTGCTGATCTAAGTAACTTTATAAATGAGTGCAGTCTGTAAGCTGAAGGCAGAGACACTGCACATTAGCACTATACTCTAATTGGTAAAGTTGTTTCCAGTGGTGGAATGGTTAACAATTCTGCTATCACTATACATGGATACTGGATGTGAACAATTAAATAAATAGATGACAGATGGCAGGTGCCAGGTTTCTCACTGTTGGAGTGGGAGTTTACAGATAAGCAAAGGGAAGGGGCTAGAATGATCCGTGTGGTAATGAGTCAGAGTTGGAGACATCAATATAACTTGTGTTTAGTTTAATATAGATGTAGACAGTTACATATGGAATTATTGATAGATATGTGTATATAAGTGGGTTAGTATACACATATATATTTCCTTGCTCAGTCAGCTGAGAGGGCATAAAAGCAAGACCCTTACTGTAGCAATGAGTGCACCTAGCACCAAGGTCTTGGTTTCTAATACCATTCTCCAGTAAAAGCAACCAGGGTTCTTTGGAGAAATGGCTTATTCTAGGACTGCGCCAGAAAACATACAAGATGAGGCAGGAGCATTTGGTAATACCAGAAAGTAAGAGCTTAAAAAACAAAAAGTCCATGATGGGAGTATGTCAAAGGATAAGGAAGCAACTGAAAGAGTTCCCAATGGCCAAAGCTAGAACCATTTGAGCAACAAAATAAATAAAGTAATATTGGCTTATAAACCCAAGTATAAAATAAATGTCTTTGAGTCTGTACTGATATAAATAAATGGTTGTAAAGAAAGAAATGGACAAGAGATGACTCTCCCATGCAAAAAATTCCCAATAATTTATGTAGTTATTCCCCCCTGAAGGAGATGGATTATAACTCCCCCTTCCTTAAGTGAGGTTTACACACCCCATTCTTAAGTGTGGGATACACATAAGAACTTCTTTCCAAAGAGTACAGAATGGAAGAGAGGAAGAATGGAGTGACTTTATAGTGGAGAAATCTGGCAGACACCTCTGCCAAGTGCGGAGGTCAACCTCAACAGTGCTGTCACGTTGATAGTATGTACCCTTGATGTGATGTGATGAAAATGGTACTTCACCTCTATGGTCTTCCTCCCTAAAAACCCATAACCCCTGTTTAGTCATGTGAAGCATCAGACAAATCCCAATTGAGGGAAATTTTACAAAATACCTAACCAGTACTCCTCAAGACTGTTAAGGTCATCAAAATAAGGAAAGTCTAAGAAACTGTCACAGCTAAGAGGAGCCTTTGGAGACATGATAAATATATGGTAGTATCCTGGATGAGACTGGATTCTGAGTAAAACTAAGGAAATCTAAATAAAGTATGGATTTTGGTTAATAATAATATATCGATATCAGTTCATTAATTATAACAATGTACCATACTGATATAAGTTGTTAATAGTAGGGAACCCTGGGTGTGGGGTATATGGAAACTCTGTACTATCTTCACAATGTTTCATATAGCACCTGCCCTGAAACATGCTTATAATAGTCAAGAAAGGAGGATAGACAGACAAATAATGTGTAGGCCACTGTTACTACTCCCAGGCTGCTGTTGCTACCATGGTAAGTGTTCTGCTCTGCTCCTCCCAAATATATTAGGAGGAGAGTCTCCTCCCTTACCCTGCCTCTAGACTCTTCCAAGGGAGTTTGGCTCTTTTGGTTAACTTTAGGTGGTGTGATTTTTAAGTGACCATACCGTTTTTTTAGGCCTCCAGATGTGGTCTTTGTCTTTTATTTTAATCATCTTCTCTTCCAAGATGCTTAAAAGAATTTAGATAATATCCAGTGTTGTGCTCAAAAGCCTTCTAGTGAATCAGAAGACAGTGTCACATATTAGAAAACACATCTTGATCTCATTGTGAATCCTCTTGGGATATTCCCCTCACCTTCTTACATCTATTTGGAGGCTTGAATCTCTTCCCTTTGACTGTGTTTCTTCTGATGTTATGGGGGCCAGGCATTGACTCTGTGGTCACATTCATTCATTCATTCATTGATGAACTTAGCACATGCCCACCTCAGGGATGTTTCCTGCTTGTGATGCTCTTTTCACAGATTCTCTTCATTCAGTCTCTTAATTTCCCTTCTCAGAGATGCCTTTATAATGACTCTGTTTAAATATAGCTACCTCTCCCCAACTCCATCACTCTCTATCTCAGTACACTGTACTATTTTTCTTCATAGCACTTATCTCTACCTAACACTTATTATATGTTTATTAGTTTATTGTCTTTCTCTTCTAGAAAATCTGCTCACTTTGTTTTGTTTAGTGGTCTATTCTCAGCATGTAGAACAGAGTCTAGCATATAGTAAGTTCTCGCTAAGTATTTGTTGAGTGAATGCATGCATGATGGGTAGCCTCCATTTCTCCCAATGGACCTACAAACCCAAAGAAAAGAAGGCTTCCGACGACCTATTCTGATAGATGGGAATACCAGAATTCCTATGGTATTTTCACAGATGGCAACCCTACCTAGTTCCTTGCTCTGTTTATATTTGTATAACACATGAGGGTTTTCGAAATACTTTCACATAGATTGTCTCTTTTGATTCCTCGTATAACACTATGAAGCAATTAAGAATTTTCAGATGTATTATTCAAATGAGAAAGGTTAGGAGATGGAATTTGCAAGATAAATATCAGAGCCAGAGCTGGAAACCAGATCTCCTAGACTTCTAGCTCATCAAGTCATTACCCAGGATCTGTGTTCATCTTCACCTGCACCTAGGATGTATATGCTTTTGAGAGCAAGGACTTGAATTACTTGTTTATATATTTTCCACCGTGCCTCACACACGGTGTGCTTACTAAAGGTGTGTCGATTTGAGTCTTGATCCACAGAATGGTCGTGAAAGTATCTTTTCTGATTGAAACTAGAGAGGAAAGTTTTGGCCACTTCTTTCGTCCACTTCTATTAACTACCTTTTTGACGGACCTTGGGAGAATCTCTGAGCTTAGCGTTATGGATGGTTCCAAGATTCAGTGGGCTGAGGCTGTGACTTTGCATGGGAATCACCTAGCAACCTTGTTTAGATTCAGATTCAGATTCACTTGTCTTGTGTGGGGCCTGAGAGTCTGCATTTTTAACAAGCTCCCTGGTCTTGCCCATGCTGCTGGTCTGTCAGCCACACATTGAGTATTTCGGGGATAGGTAACCACATGAAAAATGGAGTCTTTGTTTGGCTATCTGACGGTGTGACCCTACATAAGTCTCATGGAGACGCTGTAGCGTATTGGTTAAGCTGTATTGCTTTGGTTAGAATTCTGCCTCTCCTGCTTATACACTGTGTGGCCTCAGTCAAATCACTTAACTTTTCTGTGCCTCAATTTCCTCTTTCAAAATGAGGATCACAGGGGCTGGCCCAGTGGCATAGTGGTTAAGTTTGTGTGCTCTGCTTCAGCGGCCAGGGGTCGCAGGTTCGGATGCCGGGCGAGGACCTGCACACCACTCATTAAGCCATGCTGTGGCAGGCGTCCCACATAAAACGGAGGAAGATGGACATGGATGTTAGCTCAGGGCCAATCTTCCTAAGCAAAAAGAGGAGGATTGGCCACAGATGTTAACTCAGGGCTGGTCTTCCTCGCCAAAAAAAAAAGAGGATCATATTAGTACTTAACTTGTACAGTTATTGTGAGAATTGACTGAGTTAATACTTGTAAAGCACCTAGAAGAGTGCACGGTGCGTAGTGAGTCTTAACTGTTATTATTTCTGTCTCCTTGTGCTATTCTGCTAAACTAGGCTTAAGATACATTTGAGAGACAGGAAGTTGTTTAAAATATTTGCAGGTTATGAAATAGCATGATGTCTTTCATGAAAATCTTAATCTGGTTGGAAGACATAGTACTTTCATTAACAAACAATGCAGTAGAAATCAGCTAATGGTGATTCTTCTTATGTTGTCACAGCTGTACTGTGTGCTTTCTATCCATCATAAGAAAATGAGGGGAAAATGAGTAGGCACTCCAGTTTTGTAGTAAAGCCTTATGATATAGGATATTAGGCACAGGGAATAAAATTGTTTTTATTCATCTCAGTTATGCATTAAATAAACCAACTTGATTTTAATTGGCGACATGGAACGTGGAGACAAGAGTCCCAGGGGTCAGTGAGATTCCCTTTGGTGCTTAATTTAATTCATCTTATAATAAAAGGGGGGAAAAAGTATGGACAGAATTATTTTAAAGAGTGATTTTGTTTTTAGTTTTTCAAATAATTAATGAAAAATAAAGTTGTGTTCCTCAGGGAAAAAATTTACACAACTCATTTCTGCCACTGACTCACAGAAGTAAAAAATAAGTTTTTTAATTAACATAGAGTTTTTCTTCCTTTTGTTTTAGGATCAGATTTTATTAAGACCTCTACTGGAAAAGAAACAGTAAATGCCACCTTCCCAGTAGCTATAGTAATGCTACGGGCCATTAGAGATTTCTTCTGGAAAACTGGAAACAAGGTATATTATTGCCAGCAAATCTTTCTTCAGAGGAAAGATTATGTTATTTATAATACTAGTTACAGCCTCGATAACTGTCTTCATATGCAAAAGGTGTGAATGAGTTACCTTTATTAAGATAAATGTTTAATTTACCTTTCATTACAAAAGAACACATTCACGGAGAAAAATGTGCGATTAACAGGAAGTGAGTGTGAGTAGGTGTGTGTGATCAAGATGTAAACTCACTTTATGTCCTTTTATTAACCGAAGACAATTTTATCACTGCCAAGAGATTCCTAAATGGGTTCTTTAACAAACTAATTCTGCTGCAACTCAGAGGCTTTCTGGTAAGGCGTTGGCCAGCAAAAACAGGTTAATGCAGAAATTAAACTTCCTTGAGGAGTGGAAAGAATTGCAGAGTAACATTTATTGAATGATAAGCTGTGGTGGTGATATGAAAAGTATGCAATATAATGGGAAATAATCTTTTCCTGTCATTACTGAAGGACACACATAAATTGGTTTTTCTGTTGGGAAACCCCCGGTCCAGAAAAACTTATTACTTTTAATAATATGAGGTGAAGAGAAAATTCTCGAGGAGATGAACTTATTAAACAAAATAATGAAATGCTGTGAAACAGCGGGGAAAAGGTAGCTAGACGTTATATAGCTCTTGAATTAAATATCCATTTTTGCGTTTTATGGCAGTTGGATGTGCTCTTTGGAAGACTGTTAAGCTGAGGAGGGTATATGCTAGCTTTTGTCAGCTTTTCGAAAAATAATACATATTTTTTGAAACATGAAGTTAAAAGCAAAAGTGCGTATGAGGTGTTTTTTAAAATGAGTTTGGATTTTCCTTTTCACGTCAAGTTGCTTGTTTAGCTACAAATTATCTCAAAGGATTTTTTTTTTTTACATCACTGGAGAGAAAGGTAATTTTTTTTTTAAGTGAGACTTACCCTTCCTCAGAAGGCATCTTTTAAAACCAATCTCTTGATTTCTGCTGAGTAGAACCCCAAAAAAGACCTTAAAACCTTTGCCAATTGGATGTGATGACTTTATATGTGACTGTGGCTTCAGTTTATTTTGGAATCGGAGACCTTTTTTAGAATATATTGGGTTTGAGAGGAAATAAACTCCTTCCAGAATTTTCTCCTTCAGAATAACTTCATGTCTTTAAAAAAGTACAAATAGGATAAATATCTACTGTGACCTACATATGAAAGTTGACACAACTTGAGTAACCTCTATTTGGTAGACTTTCTGCGGTGATCCAAATGAAAAATTTTGTAAGAAAAGCTGTAAAAATGAGAACTCTATCTTTGGGCCCCCCAGTTGAGACCACCACCATTCACTAGACCAGTGGTTCTTATTGTCAGCCAAAGAACATCCAACTAGATATGAAGCTTTTTTTGTGTGTGTGTGTGAGAAAGATTAGCCCTGAGGTAACATCCAATGCCAATCCTCCTCTTTTTTGCTGAGGAAGATTGGCCCTGGGCTAACATCCGTGCCCATCTTCCTCTGCTTTGTATGGGACGCCGCCACAGCATGGGTTGACAAGCGATGTGTTGGTGCACGCCGGGGATCCGAACCTGTGAACCCCGGGCTGCCACAGAGAAGCGCGCGCACCCAACCGCTTGCGCCACCAGGCCGGCCCCGATATCAAGCTTTTTATACTTATAGATACCTGGGCCTTCATCCTTGGCTGGATGTGGGGTGCTGGATCAGGGGTAGACCTCAGGAATCTATGTTTCATAAGCTCTGTAGTCAGGGTTAAAACTCGCCACTGGGGACCCAATCCTGTTTTATTCTCAGCAAACATTTATTGTCAATAACTATGCACCATGTTAACCTATGTTAAATGCCAGGGATACAAAAGTGAACAGGTCCTTTCGCAGGAGAGCCCTTAGACAACAAGCAAAGAATTTGAATAAAAATTATAAGTGCTCAGTGTTCTAGACCAGATTACAGAGGGAGGGTCACTTTGCTGTCTTTCAATACTTTCTTTTTAACGGTATTGACCCCTTAAACAAAGTTCATCCGAGTTATATTAAGAAATGGACAGGTACAAGTCAAATCATACTCATTTAATCACACAGTGAGGATTTGTGTATGTATCTGCAAATCAGATGCATCCTTTCGGGTTGTTGACAAGTTGCCTGGGCAGCCCTTAGACTGTAAAGTTTCTACATCATTGATTTAAGGGGTGTTTTAAAATGTGATGGGCCGCCTTCCAGACCATGATTAGTGTCACTCCTGAGCAGCAGAGGTTTAATATTTCATAACTGATTTCATTGCAGATTTGTGTTTTCCATATTCTCTCTTTTAAAAAAAAAATAGGATAAACTTAATGCTGGAACCTCTCTTTAGAAACACTGCCAGACTTGCTGACACAACTGAACTATATAGAAAAATCTGTATGTGTCACTGCCTAATTGACAGAAATGCTCCTATGATTAACATGTACACTAATATCAGCTAATTGATTTTTTGGGGCCTCTTCTCAATAAATAACCTCATCCTACTTACCTCCCCCACTCCCACCACCTCCCCTCACTTATACAGAGTCACTTGGGCTCCAGAGTAGTAGGCAGATAGGATTAGAATCCCAGGCTGCTCCGTGGCTGTGTGACGTTGTGTGATGGAGGCAGGGAAAATGGGAGACTTTTACTGATATTGCATGTGTGAGTTGATGAAGGTCTAAACTAAAACAGTAGAAGTGAGAGTAGAGAGGAAAGTTTGCGTATTGGGAGATATAGAAGTTAAGAAGGTAGGATTGGTAGGACTTGACTGTTGATCGATTGGGTGTGGTGTGGAAAATGGCGGAGTATAGGTTAACTATGAGGTTTCTAGCTTGGGTTGATAATGGGACCATTTGTATATTGTCTCCCTTCTCTAGCATTCTGTTAGCAATCACCCCCTGCTAGTGCTCTGAGTGGTCAGATCTGTGAGCTTTAGTACTTGGTCTGTGGGGTGTGTTTTTGATTGCTCCCATCTGTAGAATCTCTACTGGATAGTCAAGTTCTTGAGACAAGTAAATCCAAATCAGCAGGTTTTCCTGTATACAGAACACATGTATCCTTTTCTAATGGACTCAGGGCCATCATTTGTAAACATCAGATGTTGGCTGACTTGTGCTGTTTTATGGTTACCTTCAAAGATTACTGAAGTGTGAAGAGCCCCTACGCTGTCTCTTTCTGCTGTGCTGGTTTACCTGGTCTGGCTGCTTTATATAACTCTGTCTACTTACAACTTAGAAGAAAAGTCCCTGCAGTTTAGTTGATTATAACAACTGTCAACCCTTCTTGCTGACTGCTGCCAGTTTGGTTCGCATGGCCTCACCTCTTCTCCTCTTATTTTAAATACACCTATGTGTCTTCTGCCCCTCAAGATCAAGACTGAAGGGTGACTGTACAGGCTTACTTGTAGAAATGTAGAATGAGTGAGCCTTTGTGATATCTGTTTTCCTATTTATTGACCCTCTCTTGTTTGCCCCTGGTTCACAACTGTGCTCTAGATGGTTGAGGTTTATGACTTTCCAATAAGTGAAATGTTAATGAGGGTTATTAACGCTCATTAGTGTCTCCTCAGAAGCAGTGACATTCTTCCCATTAATCTTGAAAAGTCATTTAGTAGTGTGAATGGGCATGAGTCAGTGATCTAAGAAGCTCTTTTGCTGGATGAAGTGAAATAGACTTTAAAAAAGAGAGAGACTCGAGACCCTGTATTAATGCAGTGCCATTTTTTAAAGTAATCAAATAACAATAAACATTATTCTCTTTCCCACCTTCCCTTTTAGGTAGGCTTTAAACCAGCAGGAGGCATCCGCACTGCAAAGGATTCCCTTGCTTGGCTCTCTCTCATAAAGGAGGAGGTAGGAGATGAGTGGCTGAAACCAGAACTCTTTCGAATAGGTGCCAGCACTCTGCTTTCGGACATCGAGAGGCAGGTGAGTAAATAACCCATTGTCCTTGGAACAAATTGACAAGTATTTTTGAGAAGGAAATGAAAAGTCACCTTTTGGGCTATGAGACCTAGAGATGAAACTCATCTGATTGACCTCTCCATACCCAAACCTCTGCCATCTTCCAAGCAAACCTCCACCTGAAGTAGGTTGGATGGAGATTCTGTTGAAGCACATAGTAGTGGAGCTTTGTAATGAAATGTTAATTAAGAATTATTAATTATTATGTAATAGTATAATTGTTAATTGATATATATAATAATATAATAATTATTAATTATTTTCTCTGCAGATTTACCATCATGTGACTGGAAGATATGCAGCTTATCATGATCTTCCAATGTCTTAAATCAGCAACGAATTCTGGAAAAGTTTTTTACAACAACATTTAAAAATTATTTTCCACGTAATTGCTAAAATTATTTAATTAAAAAATGAAGTAATAGATAACTGACTTTTTTCCCTTAAAATTTCCATTGAATTTAATTCAAAGAGTGAAAGAAAAAAACAGCTCATCCATGCATGTTGCTTATTTCAGGCACATCTGAAATGGTCTTAATTCCTAGAAGATCTGCACTGTTAATTTTGTGAAGGTTTTCTCTTAAAAACTCTGAGTAAAATGTTAATGATAACTTTGATAACATTAAATAATAAGGGGAAAAAATGTTCAACTGCATAAGAAATGTGCTCTAGCCAAAGAAAATGCAGCATCCCTGATCTGCTGGCTGTACTGTAACTAGACTTCAGGAGTCCTGACTCGGCACTAATTTCCTGCCATGAAAAGCCATCTTTAATTTTTGCAAGTGATATGCTCTTTTATTAATTGTTTTGCTAATGAAATTTCTATCATTGTTGTTTAAAACTATGGATATCATAGAATTTTTTAAATAAAATAAATCCCTGTAGTTGTCTATTTTAAAAAAAGAAAACTTTAAATTGTAACAATACGTATTGAAAAATTAATCCACTAAACATATGAAGAGGTTTTATCAATGACTTTCTGAATCTCTCTCGTGGAGTCCTTGAGTATTTATTTCACGTAAAGCAGCTCGGTACATTATAGTGAATACAACTTATGTGTATATTCTGGAACTTTTAAGATTCTCTGGTATAGTGAATAAGAGAAAAACAGCAAACACTAATGTAGCACTTAATATGTGCTAAGTTCTTTACATATGTCAGTGCATTTAACCCTTATTTAATTCCCGTAACAGTAAGGTAAGTACAGGGAGGTTTTTTATCCTTACAACAGAAAGTACTGATATTATCCTTTTATACAGATAAGGAACTGAGGCACAGAGAGCTTAGGCAACTTGCCAACAGTCACAGACCTCAAAATTAGCCGAGTCAAGAATTAAGCGCACGGGCCGGCCTTGTGGCGTAGCAGTTAAGTGTGCGCGCTCTGCTGCTGGCGGCCCGGGTTCGGATCCTGGGTGCGCACCCAACGCACTGCTTGTCAGGCCATGCTGTGGTGGCGTCCCACATAAAGTGGAGGAAGACGGGCACGGATGTTAGCTTAGGGCCACTCTTACTCAGCAAAAAAGAGGAGGATTGGCATGGATGTTAGCTCAGGGCTGATCTTCCTCACAAAAAATAAAAATGAAAAAAAAAAGAATTAAGCCCAGACGGGCAGTCTAGCTCATGAATCTATACAGTCACCCCTGTGTATAACTGTTGCTCCCTCAGGACACACAGACACATAAACAGAACTCACTGTCAGCTCTGGGGAATGGTAATCTGCTTTGGAGTCTATTGGTTCCCTTGCCCTCTCTCTCTCCCAACTCCCCACCTCCATCTTTTTTTTCTTTTTTCTTGCTGAGGAAGATTCGCCCTGAGCTAACATCTGTGCCGGTTTTCCTCTATTTTGTGTGTGGGTCACCGCCACAGCATGGCTGCCAACGAGTGGTGTAGGTCCACGCCCGGGAACCAAACCCAGGCTGCCGAAGCGGAGTGTGCCAGGGGCCTGCCTGCCATCTCCACCTTTTTTGCTTGCTAGCACCTCTACCACATTATAGAACCTAAGTTTTCTTAAATGGTGATTTCCATGGAGAAAGTCTTTTCCTCCCTGAATGAAACTCCAGCTACTCATAAGCAGAAAACCCCCAGATGAGGAATCACTTTTGGTTTCTTCATCTCATCTGCTGAATTCTAGCCCAGGCTCTTCCTCTTTCTAGCTTTGTGACCTTGGTCCAGTCACTTCACATTTGTGGACCTCAGTTTCTTCATGTGCAAAATAAAGAGGTTGGGGCAGGTGATATCAAGGTTCTTTAAGACCCTCAGGATAATTACAACAATCCAAGAAAATGTTTTATGGCTATAAAGAGAAAACACTTTTGTAGCAATCTAAATTAGAATTTGCCTCTCGGGAGTCAATTAGGCAAGTCCCTCAAAGCTCCTCTCTAACTGTAAATGAAATGACTAAAATAAGAGCGGAGAAGAAACCCTGCTTCCCTGAACGCCTCAGCAGAAAGCCGACTCTTGACTTATACCTTTGGATATGGTCAGTGGCTCTGAACACTGTATCTTCCTTCATAACATACTGGCCTAGGTGCCCACCAGCTCATTGGCCAGTCACCTTTGGAGAAGAAACTTTGCAGAAAAATAATTATGTTCTGTCACCTTTGAAGCTATTCCAATTTCACAGGGGTTTCTGTTTTCCTCCCATTAAACCCACTGGTCATTTTAGTTGATCAAGTGAACAGGCATCGTTATTTTCAATTCTGATTTATGTGAGGCATCCACTCAAATTGACCTCTGCGGACAATTATAGATTCACCTAGGAAATTAAGACTGGTGAGTCCCTCAAACCTATTAGAGGCTGATGAGCATGGCCTGATCTAAAGGTAAGTAATCTTATATTTTGGGGGACAATTTATTCCAAGGACTGTCGGAGCTTTTCATCAGGAATGCCTGCCCTTTACCTGGCTCTTGAAATCAAATGTAATACAGATGACTTTAACAGGAAGCCTCTAGTAAATGTTGATTGCTATGAAAACGTAAGAGGAAGGGGTCATTTCTGAGGTGACTCTGATTTACTACAAGCAGACTTGTGTACTTCAGAGCATAGGGAGCAGATGCTTTATACAAGCAGCAAATGAGTTGCTGTATTCTCTGCTTAAAGCTTCCAAGTTAATAAAAGTAATCCTCCCCCCCAAAATTGTTGCAGTTTTTCAATACAGCATATTAGACCTTAAGGTTACTTTTAAGCAACCAATCATATAATTTAGGGGCTTAAAGAGACTTTAGAGAATATCTAGTTCTATAGATCATTTTGTACATGAGAAAAGAAACTCCAAGTAGGAAGTTGCATATTCAAGGTCATATAGAAAGTCGGAGCTGAGCCCAGAACCTGGATCTGCATCACACCATGAAATGTTTTGCAAGACATAGCCAGGGCTTTGGAATTGAAAATGTCTTACTTGTTTATACATCCTGTCCCACCTAATATTATGTTTGTTAGCATGTGAACTTCAGACTTGCAAAAAACTCACTTTTGCCTCTTGGAATCTTCTAAATGGTGATTTGGAGAAGACCAACCATCTAAATCTGGCCTAAGTGATAGTGTGGTTAATTTCACCTGTTAGACTTTCAGAATTTTGGGGTGACCTCAAGAATCTGAATGACTTTTAAAAAAAGAAAGTGGAATGTTGCTTTGTTGTTTTTTAAGAAAAAAGAAGAGGAGCTTGTTTGGATTCTAGTTTGTCTACAAATGGAGAGAAAATGACTAGTGTAATCACAAAACAATTTCATAATTACAGTTTCTTTGCCTCGTCCTGGATTATTTCAGCACTAACGTGAAACTTTGGCAAATTTGTTTGCATGAAATATAGCTTCTAAGGAGACCTGTGGAAAAGCAAGAATGTTACAAATATCTACCTGGAATTGCATCCTCACAGGAACATGATATAGTCTCTATCCTGATTGAGCAGAACAGTTTACTATGACATCCATACTTGACTTAAACCAAATCTAGAGAAATAAAACCAGTTTTGGAAAAGTCAACTTACGCTTGTAGTACAGAAGGAAACCAACATTAATTTTTCTTCCATCAACTTGATCATCTTTTGACACAACGTAAGTAGGGCCAGAGAGCAGAGATAGAAGGAATTTGAATAGATTGGACTTTCAGAGGAAATGAAAGATTATGCCCATTTTGACACTAGGAGAAAGTTATGATGTGAAATCAGTTTCTACATTTGTTTTCCTGATTGTGCTCAAGAGTCTTGCCTCCCAAAGGAAAATATACATTTTATAACCACCACCAAATTATCCTTTCCAGAAATGACCACAGGTAACATCTGGCTGATGTATAAAATATGTAGTAAAAATAATCATTTTTAATTAACTAAAATCTGCTCAGGAGAGAGAGAGGAATATCCATCTGGTCAATTCTTATTTAATAGGGCAAATGAGGATCAGAATGTTTAATGCAATATATGTGAAATACTTAGTGACCTTATGATGAACTAAAACTTTTTTTAGGAAGAGCAGGGGTGAGGAGGAGGAATCACAATATCTAGAAAAGACAGACCTAAAATTTGATTTTTTTATTTTTAGAAGTACATCTTGTACTGTAAAACATAGAATATAAGAAACCTGGGTTTTGTGGCATTAGTTTCTATGGTTCAATGATAGGAAATATGTTTTAATTCATTTGAACAGTAAAAGGAGGTTTTACTTTATTCTGGAGCTTGACAAGGATGATGAAGAGTTTTAAAAAGTCTTTATAAATAAAGGTAAAAGGAACTGGGATTATTTAGGGCCAGCCTGGTGGTGTAGTGGTAAAGTTTGTGGGCTCCACTTCGGCAGCCCAGGGTTCGTGGGTTTGGATCCCAGGCACAGACCTACACACTGCTCATCAAGCCATGCTGTGGTGGCATCCCACACACAACATAGAGGATGATTGGCACATGTGTTAGCTCAGAGACAATCTTCCTCAAGCAAAAAGAGGAAGATTGGCAACAGGTGTTAGCTCAGGGCCAATCTTCCTCACCCCCCCCCCCAAAAAGGAACTGGGATTATTTAGCCCAAGGAGAAGATTGAAGGGTACTTGCTGTCTAATAGTCCCACAAAATGTTGCTTCTATATTAGATTTTGGTAACCGAGAGTCCTATATTTCCTCTGCAGAAGAAGAAATGAGTTTATGCTACATGTGAAGTTAGGTTAGTTCTAGGGAAGACTTTAGTGCTCTGAAATGTGTTATGAGTAAGGTACATTTGCTGTTCCCTTCTCAGAAGTAGATTCTCCTTTGATTGGACTGGTTTAGTTGTGCTGCCAAAGATCTTTCTCAAACTTTAGTATACATCAGAAATACTGGGAAAGTTTATAAAACAGAATTCTGGGCCCCACCCCCCGAGTTTCCACTTCAGTAAATCAACTATGGGGCCTGAGAATTTGCATTTCCAAGAAGTCCCCAGGTGATGGTGATGCTACGATCCAGGAACCACACTTTGAGGAGCACTGGACTAGAAAGCCTCATAGTCAACACCTAGATTCCAAAGTCAGTGCATCCTTTCAGTCCTCAGCCCACCAGCGGCAGCGCTTATTCATCATGGAGCTCCAGGATAAAGTGTATGTTTTGTTGCTTTTCATAGACAAGAGCAACAGAGGGAACAATGGAAATGACGTGATCCCTTCATCTCCCGCCCATAGTAGGCAGTGAACCTGATTACACTTTGGGCTTAAAAGCAAGCTTGGGAGCCTAGAATAAACACTTTAGATGAGTTGGTAATCATTATCCACAAAATCTTCCCAAGGATTTCAGCAAGCCAAGATAGCAAGATTCAGCTGTATTTGATTTTACCTATTTGGAATGCCTTCACTTTTGGTGATTCTGGTAAAATTGCACTTAAAACCAAGACCTATTTTAAAAGAGCCCGTTCTTTAACTTATGTTCGAAATAGATAAAATGTTCTAGAGGAGGGACCTTTCACAGATATGGCTTCTTAGTTTGAAGCTACTGTGTAAGTGATCTCTAGACTGGGATCTAATGAAAA